GTGGCGCCCCCGGAGCGGGGTTTCTGCGCGCGGGGCCGGCCTGCCCCGGGGACACCGCCTGCCCCTCTCCTGCAGGTACCTGTACATCCCGGCGGGCGGGTCCCAGCGCGGCCTGCTGGGGACGCTGTTTTCCACGGCGCTGACCTTCGCCTTTGTGAGCTTCTGGCACGGCGGCCGCGACTTCCTCTGGTGCTGGGCGGCCCTCAACTGGCTGGGCGTCACCGCGGAGAGCGGCGTCCGGCGGCTGCTGGAGACCCCGGGCGTCCGGGACGTTGTGGTGAGCGGGGCTGACGGTCTGCGCCCCGGGGGCGCGAGAGGGCGCGAGTCCGAGTCGGCGCGAGAATGCAGGAAACGGCCCCGCGGAGGCCGCGGTCAGCGCCTGGCTCCTGGACCTCGTGCCGCTGGGGCTGGGCGCGTGCGTGGTGGCGGGCAGATGGTGGCCCCGGCCCCCCGCGTCGCCTGACCCGTCCGACGGCCTTCGCGAGGGTCCGGGGGGCCCGGGGTCACCGGCCGCCCGCTGCCCGGCCACTGTCCCGTGGGGTGTCGTCGGCAGGGAGGAGCTTCCTGCAGGCGGAAGTGAGGCCTTTCTGGGCACCCCCGCACCCGCTCTGCTGCCCTGCAGGGGCCCCCCTGGTCTGCCGGGGCCCTCACGGGCCTCGTGAGTCTCGCTGACCGCAGTGCGTCCCAGCGGCCCAACCCTGGCCTGCTGAGGCTGCCCAGTGCAGGAAAGTGACCCGGCCCCGATGAGGCCCTCTGCTTCTCTGCCGGGCCTGCAGTGACTGTGAGGCCGTGACCTTGGGCTTGCTGCCCGGGGCCAGCTGTCACCGTGAGCTTCCTGCCGGGGGCCAGGCCGTGGCCTTGAGCTTCCCCCAGGGGGCCAGGCGGTGACCGTGAGTTTCCTGCCCGGGCCAGGCCGTGACCTTGGGCTTCCTGCCGGGGCCAGGCGGTGACCTTGGGCTTCCTGCCCAGGGCCAGGCGGTGATCTTGAGCTTCCTCGGGGGGGCCAGGCCGTGGCCTTGAGTTTCCTGCCAGGACCAGGCCATGACCTTGAGCTTCCTGCCCGGGCCAGGCAGTGACCTTGGGCTTCCTGCCCAGGGCCAGCCCGTGACCTTGAGCTTCCTGCCGGGGCCAGGCGGTGACCTTGGGCTTCCTGCCCAGGGCCAGGCGGTGACCTTGAGCTTCCTGCTGGGGCCAGGCCATGACCTTGAGCTTCCTTCCCCTGCGCCAGGCCGTGACCTTGGGCTTCCTGCCCGGGGCCAGCTGTAACCTTGAGTTTCAGGCTCTCCAGTCTGCGTCCCTCCGTGGCCTGCTGATGGGGGCTCGAGAGGCAGGGCACGGCCAGCCCCCCGCCCCCACGCCCACGTGTCCGGCTCAGTCCTGGCCCACCTGCGCCCTGCAGGGCCTGACCCCACGCGGTCAGCGGGCCAGCCCCGATCCCCCTCCCAGCCGCGGCCTGTGAGCCCGGGTCGCACACTGCCCGGCGGGTGGGGCGTCGGCCGGAGTCGCGGGCACCGGGCCGCGGTCAGGGCCCCGCTGTCAGAGGCGGGACCCCAGGGGAGTCCGAGCTTGGCCCGGGCCGGCTCCCGGGGCCCCAAGGCCGTAGGAGGGGCCCGGGGTGAGCCCAGCGCTGCTGTCAGGGCCCCGGCAGGAGAGCCGGTCACCGCCTGGACCCGCCCTGCGTCCCGCTCACTGTCCGCCCTGTCCTCTGGCCACCGCCGCAGGCGGCCTGGAACCGCATGCGGGCAGCGGGAGGGGCCGTGGAGCCTGGGCGCGGCTCTGCCGAGGGCAGGTGTGGTCAGCTGTGCCCTCCCGAGGGGTCTGCCAGCCTGCCCCTGGGAGCCCTGTCAACTCGGGGGGCCTGTGTCACCCCGCCCCTGGAGGGCGCCCTGGACATGGCAGGCAGTCTCTCTCTCACCTGGTGGTCTGCTCATGGGCCCCCCACTGCCCGCCAGCCCCCTGGACACAGCCCAGCGCCAGCTCATGGCCTGGCGGGGCCACGTGGCTCCGGCTCCCCGCTGCCGGGGTGTCCCGGCCACGTGACCTGTCCTGGGGCAGCGTGTGTCGCTGGCCTCGGGGCCTCCGGGCCTCAGCTGCTCCGGCCCCTGCCGCTGGCCACTCGGGGCAGGTCGCTGGCGCCTCCTCACACGTCCGCTCTCCCGCCCAGCGGGGGCCCCAGGCCATGAGGCGGGGCAGTGGCCGAGACCTTGGGTGTCCAGGCCGGCCTGCCGGCCGGGGCCACTCATGTGTGAGCTGCAGCTCGGTCCCTGGCGCCTCAGCACCGCGTCACCGTGGCTCCCCGCGGGCCACAGAGGCCGGGGCCACATTGGACCCGTGGCCCTGCCGTGGCCATGCCGGCGAGCTGTGCCTTGGGACAGACCCTCTCCGCCGCCCTCCCCACCCCCAGCTGACCGGGCAGCTCCGGAGCTATGGTCAGCCGCGGGCTCTGGCCCGGGCGCCCGCCTGTTCTCCGGGCCTTGACTTCGCATGCTGTGGCGCGCTCACGTGGCGCGCTCACGTGGCGCGCTGTCCCCGGGGCCGCGAGCACCTGCTGTCTGACTTGCTCTCCCCGAGCAGAATTAGGGGCCGAGAGTGGGGGAGTCAGACTCGGCCGGGACCCCCCACCCTCAGCCGCGGCCGCCCTCCCCGACGCCCCTCCGTCCTGCTCGGCCCCGGCGCCCACCCTGTGGCTCGCGTGGACGACAGGGCCGCCCCAGCAGCGTGACCGGCTGGGTGCTGGGTGCGGCCAGGGCACAGTCCTTGCCGGCCCTGAGCTGGGGAGCGGCTGGGGGCTGCCCTGGGGGCGTTCGGGGTGCACGTCCCCACCAGCGCCGCCCCCGGCCTCCTGGCCCGCTGTCCGGACCCTGCCACCCTCTGGCCCTCCGCAGCTCCGCCTCTGCAGCCCCGGGGCCCCTGGACAGCATCAGCCCTCTGGGACTGGGGGGTGTCACCGCCCCCGCGTGGAGGGGCCGCGTGGGGGGGCCGCGTGGGGGGAGGGGG